GTCGCAAGAGGGGCGAGGCCTTTCATCGCCGCTTGCGGCTTTAATTTTTATTTGTTATTGTGAAATACTATGCAAGCTACTGTGACAACGCAATTTCCCTGTGGATCAATAAATCTGTCTGAGTCTAATCTGCGAATAGTTACGTTAGCTTCAACCTTCAGACCAAAACAAGTGGAAAATCACCTAATAAAATATGTATAATACAAGTATATATTTCTTTTCACTAGAGTATACAGTATTTTGTTCTTTATTTGGGTATATACTTTTGTTTCTGTATGAAGCTGAAGATGGACCAGAGTTGTGCTGAACTGAATACTCACTTCTCTTGTGCTGTTTCTGTGACTTCTGATGCAACTCTGATTATTAAAGGATCTCTTCATCTTAATCACACCCATACTAAGTGTAAAAAGTTAATTATGTCTTATGTTTATTGCTTAGAAGATTCTTTCAATGAGAATACACTTTTTTGTTTCATTAACCCTTTTATATTCACTTTTTGAAGAAAGCAATGTATTTTTTTGTCTAAAAAAAACACAAAAACATGTAATCCATAGTTTTTCATATATAGGCCGTTACCAAATGGTTGAGCTGCAGTTTGATGGTAAAAGTGCCTAAAACCAAGTGATAGAGACGCCCCGGTGAAGAAGATTTCAGTTCCAAGCTTCAAGTAGATGTCGAGAGAAAAAGTGATCCACCAAATGGTTGAAGAAACTATTAAAGGGTTAAAAGAACCTTCTTAGCATTAATTCCATCTTTTCATCAGGTCGTCATTGGTGACACTATTCTCTTACAGCGGTGTCAAACTCATTATTGTCAAGGGCCGAATAAAAAGACTAGGAACTGGTCGGGGGCAATAGAATAGAAGATTTACTTTTCTTATAATAGATTTTTACATTATGAAGGTATTTTGATTTTTCTCTTAAAAACAAAATTTGTTTATTGTTTAGATTTAACCAAAATTGGATCAAATATTAACACATCAAACACATTGTTTTAAATTTAACCACTAAACTTCTGATGATGTGTCCGGTTAAAATTATAGAAAACCTTAAATTTGGTTGTTTTCCTGAGAAAATAGATGATGCAAAACATGGCTAAGTAAACCCATAACCTCATATCAATGCTGCAAGTTATGAATAATAATTGAATATTGTTTTAGGGCCCACTAAAAGTTGCCTGTGAGTCTGAGTTTGACAGATCAAGACTTTACCCTCTGCTTCTCACAGCTGACATAAATGGCGCTGGGAGAAAACCACTCGTCTATCTGTCCACACTGGAGCAGCGACGCCTCTCCTCCTTCACAGTCAGAGAAAAAGCCCCAGGCGGGTTGTGAGGCCTGGAGCTGGATCCTGGAGGTGGAAGCGGCGTCTCCACATCCCAGCTGCCTGCAGGCGATGGAGGCGTGTCTCAGGTCCCAGGACGAAGCCTCCGCCGTCACCATCTTCATCGCAGACGAGTCTTTCCTCATGAGCAGAGTCCCGGAGCAGCCGTCAGACAGATCTACGTCCCGGGACTCTGGACACACACAAAAGGAATATGGTTTTCTGGGATAGATCTACACACAGACAGACAGGGACAGAGACAGCTCCATATACGTAGATAGACACACACATGTAGATAGACACACACATGTAGATAGATAGAAATGTAGATGGATGGTTCAGAAATATGGTGCTATTCTTGCAGCCCCAGTTTTAAACGTGTGAGTATCTCCTCAAACCTGACTCGTAAATATGCCCTCCTCCTGCTTGTTTCCATGGTAATGTTGTTTATTTATTTAATCGTCCTCAATCTCCATAGAGAACACACAGACATAAAACCAAACGGATCACTTCCATAGAAGCGGGTTCAACGTTATTCACCCCTTGTTCCATGGTGGGAACACCGGAATCCGGCCTCTCACATCTGCACCTGTGGACTGGTCTCCCCCGGCCTGGACTCATGGGCTGCACCCCCCTCCCCGCCTGGATCTATAGCCTGTCTGTCTGTGGGTGCGGATCCCTCTCTCAGTATGGAGTCACAAAGGTTTTTTCCCACGTTTTTTCCTGTCGTTCCTTGGGTCTATGGACAGTGGTGATGTCGGACATTAACGTTCATGGGCAGTGGTCGTCCCGCCTCCTATGAACCAATATGTGTTTTCTTTTTTTGAATTTTCTTTGACCTTTGTAAAGTCCTCCGAGACAAGGATTTGTGGGGATGCAAATCTGCACATGACACTTTTTGGCACAATTTTCCAGAGCCATAAAAACTGTGATCTTCATTAAAAAGTGAGTGTTGGGCTTTAAACGTCTGCTCACCTTTGACAGTAATGTTGACCTTCTTGCTCTGGAAAGTGAAGTCCCTGTAACACATTGTGTTGCGGTAAACGCAGATGTAGCTTCCACTCTGAGCCTTGGTCACACTGGGTAAAGAGAAAAGTGCTGTATAGTCGCTGGATTTTTCCCTCAGTTTGGTTTGTTCTTCTCCGTTGAAGAGGAGAGAGAAGCGACCTCCAGGAAACGTAGGCTCCACAGAACAGTTCAGGGAGACGCTGAGGGCCTCAGGGACCACAACTGTCTCTGCGTCTTCAGGGTGAAATCTGTCCGACAGAACAGAGATGGTCGGAGCAGCCACGATGTCTGCAAAGAACACAGTAAAAAAAATAAATGTGCACTTTATTGTCCCTGTAGGGAAAATAGTCCTCTGCATTTGACCCATCCTGCAGCACCACTAGGACCTGTGTCAGTGGTTGCCATAGTAACAGCGCCCGGGAATGATCTGCGGATGTTGATGCTCGGCGTGGTCAGGACCAGAGCTGGAGGATTGTAGCTATTGTACATGTTTTTAGTGGTAGGGGAAAATGGAGCACCTGGAGGAAACCTTCACAGACACGGGTAGAACATGGAAACTCCACTCAGAAAGGCCCTGTTCTGACTGGGATTGAACCCAGAACCTTCTTGCTGAGAAGCAGGAGTGCTATCCACTCAGCCACCGTGCCGCCAAAGTAGAGAAAAAAGCTTGGACTGCTGCCAACGATGAGATCAGTCTGGTCTCAGAGAGGGGTGTCATGGCAACGGTTCCCACAAGAGAATCCAGATGGCGGCCATATGTGACCTCTACACTGAGCTTTTCTATCCTCTGGGCGTCTGGAAACCATAATAAACCAAATGCAGAATCAGAATTTGAGTTTCTTTAATAAAACACAAATCATTGGAGAAACAAAAACGTATTGTGACAAGTCCTAAAAGCTCCAGGAAAAAACACTGGGTCCTTCACCTGAATAAAAACAAAAACGGAATTTAAAGAAGCTAAACCCCAATTTATTTTCTAATAAGTTCATAAAAATGCGTATAACTACATACAGGTATTATAATTTGTAATTTAATTGAAAACTTGAGCTCATTGATTCAGCTGTGTATAAATTCAGGCCGTAAAAAGTAGAGACTTTAGCGTGACGCCCGCTCTCCTCCAATCACAGAACAAGGCTGCGTCCTCTAGCCTCTACAGCGCTGCTAAACACAGTAGCATGTTAGCAGAATTGGCTATAACTCCTCTTGCTGTAACTGCAGACACAGCAAAACAGCCCAAACAATACTGAAGAGAATTCTAAAGAGAAAAAATTATCAAAGAAGAAATCAAGCCCGGGTGAACATATCCTCTGGAGAGACCAGCGAGAGCGGGACCGCCTCGGACTACATTTGGACGTGAAACTGGCGGTAATCTTTCAGTTATATATTTTGTCAGTTGTGCGTTGCTTTTGTACCATTTCATCAGTGATTGTTGTACGGCTTACAAGAAGTTCCGCTAAAGCTAATGTTTGTAAATGTATGAGATAGCGTAGGGGAAATGAGAAGCCTGTGTGCGAGTTGGGGGGCGGAGCTTAACATTCAGATACGGGTATAGCTCCTTTAAAGTAACTCCTCCATCACTCTCTCCCACAGTCAGCAGTACCTGAGCAGAGCACGTGGATGGTGTCTGCAGAGGCCCCGTCCCTGATGGAGCCACAGCCGAGCAGAGCGTGCTCAGAGCCATCACAGTCAGAGAAGAACCTCCAGGTGCTCCGCAGAGGTGCCGCCCTGCTCTGTGTGTCTGTGTGCAGAGCAAAACCACAGAGCAGCTGTCTGCAGACCACAGAGGCCTCGCTCCGGCTCCACTGCTCCTGCTGCACCGGCCTCCACTCCCCCCCGTGCTGCAGCTGTAGGACGCCCACACAGCCGCTCTCTCCTCCCACCAGGCGCACGTACGACCAATCTGAAAGCACCAGGATACAGGGGTTTAAAGGGGGACAAGTCTTTAAAAGTCAGACTTTTCTAAAAGCATGGATCAAACCTGTGATGCTCAGATGAATTCTTTGTTCTTCAGAGAACTTCTCAGGGCTGGATTCAAAGTCGTAGCTGCACTTATAAAACCCCTCCTGGCTGCGTGTCAGAGGCTCCAGCACAAACTGATCAGCGTTGGCCACAGCAGTTTTGTTCTGCAGCAGCACAGTCTCAGAGGATTGGAACTGCAGGTTAAAGGTTAGGACTGTGGACGGCGAGGAGACGCGACAGACCACGAGGACACGGTGGCCTCTGTTCACCGTCAGCTTTGTGGATGTCGAATCTGACATTCTAGAAAAGGTCTGCATTTCAGGCGCTGACGGACTCTCTGCAAGAACACAGTCCTCTGTTTACGTCCAACACCAAACAGCACAGGTTTTCACACAGAACAAAAACCACCAAGTTTCCACTAAAGACTTTTGGTATTTTCTGATTTCATCTCAAACAAGTCCTTTTACCGAGTCGTGTTCCGTGTGAACACAGCGGCCATAGCAGCAATTTAGCAGTGTTTTATCATGACACTTTCAGGCACAGCCACCTGACTGTCCACCCACCTGGTGTTCTCAGAGGTCTCCCATCACAGTACTGACCAGTCCCTGACCTGCCTAGCTTCAAAAGTCTACCGGGATCTGACTTTCACATGCAGGTATGGGTCTTTTGAGCAGGCTGAGCTTTAAGAAAAATGGTATCGAACACAAGAATAGAAAGCTTCACAGACTTACCATCGCACCTGAGAAAGGCGGGTTGGCATGTGCTGCCCCCTGCTGGTGACGCAGAGACAGGGCAGTCCAACAGGCTCGCCTCATGGCCGCTGCAGTTTGTACTCAGAGCATTGGTAATATTCTTCAAGAACATTTTCACTGGGGCATGAGGAAATCCACATTCCAGCTCTCTGCAGCCGACCAAGCCCTGAGCCAACGTGTAATCCTGGTGACACAAAGCCCTCCAGGATCCACCCTGTTTGACCATAACGGACCCAGTGCAATGCTCGGGTCGGGGCCGACCGAAGAGAGACGTGCTGTCCCACTTCACCGACTCTGCAAGCAACAAACAACAGTATTTGATGTTGGACTTGGTGGATTTGATGACATTTTGATGTATCATAAGTTTCGCCAATGGGACAAAATATCCAGAGTTAGAGAGAAGGTGGTCCTGGGTCATGGCAACGGTTGCTAAGGAGCTCTTGCTGGCTCATAAACTAGTTCCTTTCCTCAAACATGTTTTTTGAGTGTAGACGTTGTTGTATTAAATATAGACTAAAAGGCGATGTGAATTAGATTGACCTGAAATTGAACTCTGTCTGTCTCCAAGCAAAAAGAAAGACCTTGTATTGCCCTACTCCCCTGTCCCATTTTGTCCAAAGTGCATGGGTGAGTTAATGATAGTTAATCTGGGGGGATTCTGCTAATCCTTTCAAGTTGTGAAAGAAGGAGATGGAGTCCAGAATCTGGAGGAGAAGCCTTGAGATCCCTCTGCCTTATCTCAAAGGAACTAATAAATTTATAGAATTAGGGAGGGGTAGTGCGTGAATGATTTCTGTTCAGGTTTGGCGAGACGGAGGAAAAGGCCGGACCTTGGACCAGAGATCTGCCTGATACGACACGCCCCCTTCTTCATGCACATTTACTTATAATAACCTCATGCTTGTGTTAGTCTAGACCGGACCAGGGACAGGAGTGTGATTTGCGTGGAGCGCCCACCAAAATCATACTTTTATATTTTATATAGAGAATAAGGGATAGTTACTTTTGGTCCGAACAGCTGTTTTAGATTCTTTTTGTATTAGGGAAATAAACCTTTTTGAATTTAACTTCCTGAATCATGGTCATCTTTATAAGGGATTTTGAACACGTCATTTTTTAATATAATAATTGGTGACCCTCGACGTGATCCCTTTGATGACTTTCAACCTCTCCCTTGGACTCTGCATCTCTCCTCAAAGCGGCCGCTGATTTGAAGGTAAGCAGATACCTTTTGACTAATTAAAAATCTGCATATTGGACTACACAAATTAAGGGGAGAGAAGTTTTGTCCACGGAGGAGCTAATTCAAAAGTAAAAATAGTAAAAGCCTAAAAAGTAGTGAGAGCCTTGCGAAAATACGTTAAAATTAAATAAAATAGGAGTCTAAGTAGCTAGAACCCTGCGAGAATATATTAAAAGTAAAGATTTTTTGAGAAGCCTTGCCAGAAACAGGAAAGCCCGCTGTGACTAGCGTGGTTGACGGACGCGTCAACACACAAGTTAGGTTTAACCCATTGGAACCTGGGGGAATTTTGGGCCCCCCCGAAAAATGGAGACAGGCATTCCAATCGAGCAGCTATATAGAGAAATAGAGGCTCAGATTCTGAGTGGTCTGGATAAAAAATATAGGAACAAGGCAAAACGAAAGGCTGTGTGAAAGCATGGGAAAAAATACAGAACAAAAGGGTCATACCTGAGTATATGACAGCGTCCGCATTAGCTAGGATATTGCGGGAAGAGGAAAATAATCTAAAACAGGATTTAAAAGAGCTTGAGGGAAAGCAGGGAAAGAGTTGGAATGAGTGTAGGAAAATTAAGAAGGAACTAAAAAAGGCTGAGAAACTGAGGACCAAGGTACATAATTTTGCTTTGGCTGCCACGGCGTTGGCAAAATTACCGATGGTAAGTAAAGACAAGGAAACAGAAAACGGAGCAATGCCGGTGAGTAATATATACCCATCCCTACCCACGGCTCCACCAAAATATTCTCTAGGTTTAGAACCAGGTAAGCCAAATCTAATATTGCCACAATATACATTTTCAGGAGAAGTGGCGGTAGGAAAGAGAGGGGACAATGACTTTGTAGACAGGGAATTTGACGAAGGGACAGAACAGGAGTCTGTGGGGGACAATAGAGATCCGAGTCAAAATCCAGCTGTCAGCCTCCCGCCACAGCTCCCACACACCCCTCACCAACCCCCACCCATCCAAGAGGTGCAGGAGCTGCTCCTGCACTCTCTCAGAAATATTAGAGCTAGGAAACCGACCTCTGAATGCACCACAGACAGAGTTGAGGGAGAAGAAACCCCAAGTAGGACCCATGATTACGAGACCGCTAGACAGGAGAATGCAAAATTAATTAATAAAGCCGCACGCAGAGCCATGACTAGGACGGACAGTGAAAATGAAAAGGGAGACGGTGCCATGGCCCAGCCAATACTTAAAGCTAAACAGGCTAAAAAAGGAGCTAAATTCTCTTCTGACAGTAGTGATGACGGAGACCGGGAGCCTGGGGAAACTAGACCGGTGGCAAGCAGAACCAGGTCTCAGACAAAATCCATGTTCCCTCTGAGACCAGGACGAGGCGCAGCTGGGGAGTACCATCCTTTTTCTGTAAGTGACATGCAGACTATAAAAGACAAAATGCCTCCATTGTGTCAGGGAGCTGGAAACTGGATTTCCAGTCTGAACACATGGTTTACAGGTCATGATGTCGCGATGGGTGACGTCCGGGCAGTGATGGCAGCATGCAGTAAACCATGGGAGAGAGATGCTATTGAAAGACAAGCTGGTACTGCTGATGTTTGTGATTCTTCCAGATTTGGCCAGTATGCAAATGCCTGGTATGAAGCACTGAGGGAGAACTTTCCAACCCCGCTGTCTTCTGCCCCTCGTGAGTTAACTTGGCTGGAGTCTGAGGACCCAATTGTATTTTATGACAGGAGTGTGACCAAGTGGATGGACACAGTAGGAAGACACCCTCACAAGGTCAGTGAAGTCATGCCTTTTAGAGCAGCTATTTTGAATGGTTTACCAGAAACAATACGCTCAAAGATTGAAGACAACCCAGATAATATTAACCCGGATTCAGCACAGTGGAAAACAAATTTAATCTTTCACATTAAGCGATATGTTGAAAATAAAACTAAAGAAAGAAAGAGTGTTGAAGATATGACTTGTCAACTTTTGAAGTTACAGCTTAGTGAAGCGAGAAATAAAGCCACACAAAATAAAAAAGGAACCAGTAATCAGATGACTAATATGCCTGCTGGACTTCCCACTCCACCACGACAGGACTGGACAAGGGGAGGGGCCAGAGGTGGTGGGCGTGGGGGCCGGGGAGGAAGAAGGGGTGGAAGCTGGAAAGGGGGCAGGGATGTGTGTCACCTCTGTTACAGGCACGGTCACTGGGCGAGGGACTGCCCCTTTGGAGGAGAGGCCTCCTACTACCATGGAGCGCCTGAGATGGTGCGTGGGAGGGGCCCCCAGAGAGGCATGGGACCCAGACCAGAGCGCGCAGGCCCTCCCTCCCCATGGACGGCTCCGAATGACAACCTGGCCCCGAGAGATGGACAATATTTCCAGCATGGGAACTACTGGGGCGAGTATGAACATGAACAATCTTACTAGGGCTGCTTAGGAAATCCAGGGGACAAGGTACCAGCAGAGCCTATGCTCCCCATAAGGGTGGAGGACGACAACCTGATGGCCCTGGTGGACACTGGCGCCACCTACTCTACCATCAATACAAAGATACGCCCTGTCCTGCTCTCTGAGGAGCACACACCCTGGTTGGATTTTCTGGGACACCTGAGGTACTGCCACTCACTAAACGTTTAAAGACACAAATTGGAACACAGACACTGTGGCATTCTTTTGTAAATGCTCCTAAAACACCTGTCAACCTGCTGGGAAGAGACTTATTGACTAAAACCAATGCGTCAATTCTATGTGGACCGGATGGTCTACAAGTGACTTTTCCAGGGGGACAAATTTACAGATGTGTGACCGGTGTATCGATGGACTCCTGCTGGCTTCTGAGAGAAGAGATGCCAGACCAGTATGCAGACATATACTGGGTGAGACTGGACCCAGAAAACAAGTCCACGGACAATAATGGTGTGCATTCCGTCTTCTTCAAGTGGAAACCCTGGATAAATTCTTTGGCCTCCTACCACCTCCCACTGGACCCTGCCCACTTGACATTATTCTATGACAGAGACCAAGACTTAATGTACAGAGAACAATTCAAACAAATTGAAAGTGATAGGTGGACATTAGAATCAGATTACATTTATATTGGGCCTGAGGGTGTGGCGGCCCATACACGGCTGCTTCCTGAACAGTGTGAGTGGTATTACATGTCTTCCTCTGCTGTCCCACACATCACCTTGGCTGTACACCCTGGTCACGAGGCTAGAGCTTTAGGTCCAATGGTAAAGAGACTGGTAAAAGCTGACGATTGGTCTGACACCCAACTCCCTCATGTGCAGTACAGCATTGAAAATAAGTCATACAGGATAAAAGCAAATATGATAGACACAGGGGAAGTGGAGCACGAAACATTGACCAGACATCATGGTAGACACATGACAGATCATATGATGATACGCATGAAATATTGAAACAGGTGCCTGCAGAAGTTTGGTCCCAAGGTCCCACGGACGTGGGGTTGTGCACCTCTTTCCCTCCTGTGTCTTTACAGATGAAGCCAGGAGGCCCGATTCGCATAAAGCAGTATGCCGCCCAAACCAGACGCTGTCGAGGGTATCTCACAGGTGATAGAGGGACTTACGAAAGTGGGAGTCCTCGAGCCATCAAAATCAGAGTGGAACACGCCCACTCTAGCTGTGCCAAAAACAGGTCAGAATAAATATAGAATGGTCCATGATTTGAGAAAAATAAATGATTTAACATTAACTCAGTGTCTCCCGGTCCAAAACCCTTATACAATGCTGTCATCACTGTCACCAGACCTCCAGTATTTTACTGTTATGGATTTGGCTAATGCATTTTTCTGTATTCCCCTGGCAGAGGAAAGCAGAGATTTCTTCTCATTTACTCACAGGGGCCAAAAACTGCGTTACACCCGTCTTCCCCAGGGACATAAATGCTCCCCGGGCATTTTTAATCAGACTTTGAACGCTCTGCTGAGAGAGTTGGTGCTTCCGGAGGGCGTGGTACTCCTACAGTATGTGGACGATCTCCTCCTCGCCTCGAGAACGGAGCAGGCCTGTCTACAAGCCACTAGGGACACTATAGTCTTCTTACATTCAAAAGGATTTAAGGTCAGTAAGGAAAAGCTACAATGTTGCAGGCCTGCGGTGACCTTCCTGGGACGTAGTGTGTCTGGAGGATCCACAAATATGTCTCCAGAGCACAGAGATGCTATTTTGTCATATCCCAGACCCACCATGGTGGGGGACATGTTGTCCTTCCTGGGTCTGATAGGCTATAGCAGACACTATGTGGCAGATTTTGCAGACAAAACTAAACCTTTAAGAGCTTTAGTTAATGAACATGGCATGAGAAACACAAGGGCTAAACTGAATTGGGACAGAGATAGTGAGGCACAGTTTATCTCACTCAAACAGGACCTATCCTCTGCGGCTCATTTGGCTTCACCAGATTATGCTCTCCCGTTTTATTTAGATGCCACAGTGCAGTCTCAGGTAGCTAACGGGGTGTTATATCAAAAGTGCAGAGGCCAGAGAAAAATCTTACAGTATATTAGCGTTCCATTGGATTCAATCGAGGCTAGACAGGTTGACTGTTCTAGGTATGCTGCAGGAGTGGGACATTTGATTAAGAAAACAGCACATTTAGTCATGGGGCATGCTTTAGAAATATTGACTGATCATGGCGTTTGTGCATATGTGTCCTCAGCTGCATTCACTATGTCACCTTTGAGACAGTCACGGCTCTTACAGGTGCTCACTCAGCCCCACATAACTTTTACACCTCTTGGCATTAACATGGCTGACCACATGCCAAGACAGGGTGAGCCGCATGACTGCAGTGTAAGGGTAATAGACAGTCTGAAAGTGCGACCTGACCTCCAGACTGACCCACTTCAGGACCCCGACTTACAGCTTTTCACAGATGGGTGTTGCTGGAGAGAGAGGAATGGCAGCCTGAGAGCGGCATATGCAGTTGTCAGTGTTAACGGTGAAAATTTTGTTACAGTAAACAGCGGTGTTTTAACTGACAAACCATCAGCGCAGGCGGAGAACTAGAGGCTCTCTGCGCCGCCTTGGAGTTTGCTAAAGGTAAATCTGTAAATATTTACTCCGACTCTGCGTATGCTACTCAGGCTGTCCATTTCAACCTCTCCGAGTGGAAAAGAAACGGCTTCTTGACTGCTAAAGGCCGACCCATCACACATAGAGCCCTGGTGGAGAGGCTGGACAGCGCTCTCCAGCTTCCAAAACAGGTAAGCGTCATCAAGTGCCAAGGGCACTCCAAGTCAGACAACTTTGAGGCCAGGGGAAACGAGGCGGCGGATGAGGCCGCAAAGAAAGCTGCCAACTACAAGGTCAGTACTCCAGGAGTGTTTGTGGTTCGGGACGAGGGGCCAGACCTGGCAGACTGCCTGCCCGATCTGTCCCTTCAGGTTTTAGCTGAAGCCCAAACAAAAGCAGCTCCTGAAGAAATATCCATGTGGGTTCAAAAACGGGCAAAGAAGGATCCAGATACTGGCATCTGGTACGGCCCTGATGGCCGCCCCGCCCTGCCCATGGGGGACCTCTCACGAGCGGCTTTATCTGAGGCACATGGGCTAGCCCATGTGGGTCAGGTACAGATGCTCAGGAATATGTCACAATGGTGGCATCCCTTTAAGACAAGCATGATCCAAGATTATACTAGGTCCTGTCAAATATGTCAGAATTATAACCCATCGCCCTGCTCAGCTGTTTCCCCAGGAAAATTCACACCTGCTGCTTGGCCTGGGGCACATGTTGTGATGGACTTCACAGATATGATTAACAGGTGCGCAGGAAAGCGGTACCTGTTGGTCATCACTGACACCTTTACGGGATGGCCTGAGGCATATCCTGCTGCAAAAGAGGATGCTGCCTCTGTAATCAAAGCCTTAATTCAGCATTACATCCCAACGCATGGCTTTCCCCAGTTAATAAGGTCTGACAATGGGACGCATTTCAGGAACAAACACTTGCAATTGGTAGAAAAACATCTGGGGCTAAAACATAAATTTGGAACGGTCTACCATCCTCAATCCCAGGGCCGAGTTGAAAGGATGAATCAGACCTTGAAAAGTAAACTCTCTAAAATCCTGGCAACGAGTAAATTGAATTGGCTACAGGCATTGCCTATTGCCCTGTTGTCAGCAAGGCACTCTGTTAACCGCATTCACCATTTCTCCCCATACGAGCTGTTAACAGGGAGGCCTATGCCAGGACCAGGAAACAGGGTGGTGCCTTTCACGAAAGACGACTCCCCAACACCCCCAGTGCGGGTGTACTGGGAACAATTGAGAGAAATGTTGTCTAGTTTTTCCCATCAGGTTGAAGGAAGTCTCGACCTCTGCGAGAAGGAGGCCTCGGAGGATCCACCTGCCTGGGTCCGTGTGAAGGGGTTCAAAAGGAAGTGGAACGAGCCCCGCTGGACCGGACCCTTTGAAGTGGTGGCCCGCACTCGCAAAGCTGTTCAACTGAAGGGACACGGGAACAAGTGGTTTCATCTCTCTCATACGAGACCATCTGACCCACCCTCGTAACCACGCTCACGGGTTGGACAGTGACTCACACACACGCTTACACTCGCTCTTAATATGTTGCCTTGGGACAGGGAGCCCTGGCCCACGACCAAAAGAGGGAGAGCCATCCTATGGGCTATCGCTGCAGTTGGTTTGGTCGTGGTCCTGGGAATTTTAACATGGGAAGTGTTAGAAAACACACAGCTAAGAGACAGGGCCAGACTTGTAACACAATCCAGTCTTTGGTCCAATAAGACTGACAGAAATAAAAGATCCATAGGAGAAGGCAGCGTTAGAGACTCTCTACCTACGGTTGTGACAGTAAAATGCCCGGTGGGTGCGACAATTACAGCCCACATACCAATGGCAACAATCTTTCCATTATCCTTTCGACCTGACTTCACACTCTACCTGTGTTACACACCGTCAACATGTAAATATGAGAGACATGGAAAAAGCTTTAGAGCATCGGTGGACTGCACCTGTGATGCTTGGGAGTATGTTATATCCAATACAGGTCCTGATTGGGGTTATAATAATGAACACAGATTGAAGGGACGAGTGATTCTGACTACAGACCACTCACAAACAACGGTGCTAGTCACTGTGAAAAATTGTGGGATTGATGTGAATGGGACTTACGTTATTGGACATTATCCAGGAGACATTAGACAATGGATTTCAATTGCCCTACCCGAGGACAAGGAGCTAGACAAGGAGGCCATAGATAGTGAAGTATGGCAAGACAAACAAAACGTACAGGTGACTGCTGACTGGACTGTTTCTGAATTGTTAAAACAAGCAACTGGATATGGGGATAGAAACGCTTGGTTGTGGACAGTGGAGCACATGTCAGCGGCTGCTGGCTTTGACGATTGTGTTGTGTGTTCCACTGCACGTCCCACTTTGTATACAGCCCCTGCTCCACTTTTCCCAGAAGATGTAGATGGTTATAATTGTATGATAAAGTTGTTTTGGCAAGAAAAGGACCTGACTGAGGAGACAAAGACAGTCCCTAGCAACTGTTCAATGTTTGAAGTATTGTTTCCAGAATTGGATTCAGAAATTCAGCCCCCTATGTTTTCCCACAGGAAAAGCAATTACACCTGTTTCCACTCACTCAATGGAGGCGTGGCTGGACAGCATCTTGGGGAAGTGGAAGCATGTAATTTTGTCTGTTATCACAAGCCTTGCGGCCATCTTTGCAATAATAATGGTTGTAGGATGCTGCTGTATACCTTGTATACGTTCTCTTTGTGTTAAAGCTATAGACACCGCTGTTAACCCTGGACTGAGAGGTCAAATGCTTGCATTGGTTGAGGATTCCCCCGTCCCGTCGCCTGAGGAAGGTTATTGAAATGTGTGGCCTTTTTTAATAGCGGCCAAAAGAGGGGACTGTTGTATTAAATATAGACTAAAAGGCGATGTGAATTAGATTGACCTGAAATTGAACTCTGTCTGTCTCCAAGCAAAAAGAAAGACCTTGTATTGCCCTACTCCCCTGTCCCATTTTGTCCAAAGTGCATGGGTGAGTTAATGATAGTTAATCTGGGGGGATTCTGCTAATCCTTTCAAGTTGTGAAAGAAGGAGATGGAGTCCAGAATCTGGAGGAGAAGCCTTGAGATCCCTCTGCCTTATCTCAAAGGAACTAATAAATTTATAGAATTAGGGAGGGGTAGTGCGTGAATGATTTCTGTTCAGGTTTGGCGAGACGGAGGAAAAGGCCGGACCTTGGACCAGAGATCTGCCTGATACGACACGCCCCCTTCTTCATGCACATTTACTTATAATAACCTCATGCTTGTGTTAGTCTAGACCGGACCAGGGACAGGAGTGTGATTTGCGTGGAGCGCCCACCAAAATCATACTTTTATATTTTATATAGAGAATAAGGGATAGTTACTTTTGGTCCGAACAGCTGTTTTAGATTCTTTTTGTATTAGGGAAATAAACCTTTTTGAATTTAACTTCCTGAATCATGGTCATCTTTATAAGGGATTTTGAACACGTCATTTTTTAATATAATAACGTCAAAAGCTCGTTTTCACCTCAGCACATTCTATTTCACTTTTTTAGTAGTGGTCGTTTCCATTCACATGCATAAAGCATATGCAACCTGTACTTAGAAGCATGGCTAATCCCTTATTTATTTATTCATTAAAGGGACAGTGCACATCAATATACATTATACATGTAAATATGCCAGAATCATCCTGAGGACTATGTTCCATCTGTATTCCCAGGGCAGTTACTATGTGTCCTCCTGAAGGGAATAAAAACCTGTACACACGGTGATGACGGAATGGTGAAGCCGAAACCAACTGGCGCAAAGCGCCCAACCAACAACATTTATTTAATCATACCATCATTTAGTGGTAGGGAAAAAACTGGAGCACCCGGAGCAAACCTACACAGACACAGGGAAATAACAACCGGGATTTGAACTCAGAACCTTCTTCCCAAGAAGCGAGATAAAATATAACCAGACTAAACAATAGTAACATTTGAATAAACAATAGTATAATAATAATAATAATAATAACAATAATTTACCTGTACAGGAGACTTGCAGCATGTCTTCCGATTCTGTATAACGCCATTTGTTGCAGAACCCGGAGCCTCCCCAACAGTCCAGCTCCCACAGCGGCAGAGACTGCGGCGAGTACACGGCAGTGACGCGGATCAGGGACCCGCAGCCCACCTCTTCACACACATGTTTGGACACGATCTCTATGGTGTCGGACCAGCCCCGGGAGAAGGGCCTCCACTCCAAACCGTTCTTACCCTCCAGAATCCCCTGGCACTGGTTGGCTCCTCCCACAAGTCTCAAACTGTACGGGTCTGGACCAAGAGACAGGTGTAAGTATGTGAAGAGGTTGGACAGGAACTCGAAACTCATCAAGAAGAATACTATAAGACTGGAAATGCAGCTTTATTCAATTCAACTCTATAAGGATCCACAAGGGACAGAACCCAATGTCCATAAATGTTGATAAATTGTAGTCATTCAGATTGTAGTCATTCGGTTTACATTGACGTTGGTTCTAAAGATAAAGGCAGATGTACTAAACTAGATGACGTTCTAAAAGCTGGTCACTGTAAGTATATCAACAATTATATATATTAAACACAAAAAATGAACCGAAGCTACATCTCTGCTTTACATTGTATTCATCAGTGATAGTTGATTGTATTTGGGGGTTTCTGACCAAAAAATATGGACTACAACAATGGAAAAATAAACTACACAAAAAACGTAGCCCCAAACCATCATGTTTCCACCCCCATGCTTCACAGTGGGTTCTTGGGATGCACTGCCCGTAGTCAGGAACATCGCAACATGGGAAACGTTTGGTGAAATACAGAGAAGAATACAGAGTTACATCACAAGAACACTGTGGGGCATGGGGGTGGAAACATGGTTTGGGGCTGGATTTCAACAAGGGGAATAGGACGACTAGTAGCACACAGCACAAGATAAGTGAACAAAAACTCTATTCTAAAATAAAATAAAATCTCTAAATGTAAATCAATGTAGGACCTCTACATTGTTTTAAGTGTGACAGTGGCCAATTTCCTCACTGTAGACAGCATTATTCCAGAAATATGCACCAGATACGTGAATAAATCTTTAACGCCAAAGATTTAAATCTGTCAACTTGTCTAAATAATAGTTTTGGATTATCCTCAACATAAACAAACAAGAAATATTGTGCTGTTTTGATGTGAAAGGAGACATTTTACCTCTTGCATATACAGTAGAGCCCCATGTGAATCAATAGGACTCTTTGGCCTGAAAGCTGATTGGCTGAGCTTATCTGAGCTTACCCGAGGTTGTCTGCCGCACTTTTCTTATCTAAAGCTGTGGTCAAATGTTTTAAAAGAATCATGCATGAGATAAACCAGAGCTGGACACTTGTTTTGAGGTTTGATACGCTGTACGTATGTGTCCTATAATATATTTATCTGACAATTCTTATCCAAACAACCAATGTGTCTCTTATAACACATTTCAAGCAATTATGGAAACATACGCCTACCATTAACTTTTTCATGCCACTGTGTTTTCTCTCCTAGTCTTAGCTTTGGCTTCTTTGAGTATGAAATAAAAAGGTACTGTACTGTCGCAGTCCAGAGTGAGGACCCTCTTGCAGTCTCTCTGTGCTGTAGTTGGACAGTCCTGAAGCGTCTCGTTGCCAGAGCACTGGAGGCTCCTGGTCTCCACCGCGGTTTGGAGCGTGGAGGACGAGTTCATCCTGGAAGTCCCACAGCCCAGGTCCGCACACATCCTGTCGGCCAGAGACTGGTCCAGCAGGCCGTCCTCTACGCACACGTGGAACCAGGACTGGCCCAACTTCAGCGTCACGGTCCCAGAGCAGGTGGAGATGGTCTCGCTAGTTATTCTCAGAGTCTCTGCAGAGAAGGAACAAAGCAGGGTCACAACAAAAAGAAATTCCTCGACTTGAATTGAGGAAGTTCATTTAGACAAATTGAGTTTACGTGCTGAAGAGAATTGATTTGGTTGCACTGATTATTTCTAGTTGGTAAAGCCAGTTGAGGTTGGGTCGTCCCTGTGTGTGTGGAGACATCTCTGCTTAGACAGCTGCCCCTGCGACCGGGCAACGGATAAAACGGAAGAAAATGGATGGATGTTTTCAAACTCAAACTCAAGGTCATATTTGAGTAAACAAAGTCAGAAATACCTATTTGCAATGGGAGAGTTGTGTAGGCTGTTTGGGTCTGGGTTTTGTCTATGTGTGTGTGTGTGTGTGTGTTTTGGGGGGTAAGCTGTCAGGCTCAGGGAATGGGTCTGTGTCCTGTCTCGGAGTGTGTGTGTGTGTGTGTGTGTGTGTGTGCTTTGGGTTGTGTTGAATGATAATTAGAGGGGGATAAGCTGTGTGGCCTCAGAGAATGTCTGGGTCTGTGTCTTGTCTAAATGTGTGTGTGCGTATGTGTGTGTGTGTTTTGGGTTGTGTTGAATGATGATGGGAGGGAATAAGCATTTTCATTGTCCTACCCCCTTTCCAAACAGTTTATATTTGTTCATTTTCTCTATTTTTTCTCCTCTTTATTGTTTTTCCCAGACATGTTAACATTTGTCATCACTAAACCCTCCTCCTCCATCGTCATAGCAACATCCAGAATTTCGTGTATAAACCTGAACACGTCACTGCGATGCTCGAATTATACGACTCAATCGCTTCCACTCTTTTGCGCTGAGCCGAGTCTTTGCACTGGCGGATGGTTTGGTCCGGGTTCCTGCAGGAGAAGTTGATTTCCCAGGCGGGTTTGGGCTCAGACGCATTAGGGACAAACTGGACAGACGCAGCCGAACCACAGCCCATCTGACGACAGGCCATTTCAGCAAAACCAGTGGATCGAGAATACTGATAGCTGGCCTTTGTCTTCAGGGTCTTCCACTGCCCCTCGTGTTTTATCTCCAAGTTCCCTGAGCATTTGGAGTCTCCGTTTACAAGCCGTGCGTCGACCACACCTGAAAACACACACACACAAATATTTAGACAGGATTACATGTTGCAAATGCGTCTTTCAGACTAATATTTACAAAGACTGTTGAAGTCTTAACAGCAAAAGGAAATTGCAGATGAAGTGACTGCAGCTCAAAACCGAGGTCATGCTTTTGGTCTCCTCCAGTCTCTCTCTCCTAAAACTCTAAAACCAGGTCAGAAATCCAGGGGTAGTAATAGGACTGAGACTTACATATTTACAGCCACAACACAAACCATCAGCATCAACTTTCATCAATCAATGTCTAAATCTGACTCTGCATTTGTCTCCAGTAGGTCAGACTACTGCCATGGCTGCTCACTGGTCTCTCCTGACTAGAACCAGGAAGTACGACCACATTAGTCCGGTCCTCAGGTCTCTGCACTGGCTTCCTGTGGCTCAGAGAACAGACTTAAAAGCAGCACTGTTCTGGCTGGTCTCCTGCTGGTGCCCAAAGTCAGGACCAAACATGGGGAGGCAGCATGTCCAGTTCAATGCAGCTACATTTTTGGTAGTCTTCTTGAAAATGTGAGACAGGTTACTCAGACAATGTTCAAATCCAGGTTTCAAACATTTTGATTTAGTTGTGCACGATTTTAACACTAAATCCAATGTAGTGTGATAAAGTTTTATTTCAGCCCAGGACAGAGCTGGACTTCAGATGACCGCGTCCAGCTTCTCCCTGTCCCTCTCTGTGATGCTGCAGCTGACCACACAGAGGCTCCACCACAGAGAGAGAAGAAGGTCCTCAGCAGTAGGGCCTCCTCAGCAGTCCATCCTCCTCAGCAGTAGAGCCTCCTCAGCAGTAGAGACTCCTCAGCAGTACATCCTCCTCAGCAGTAGAGCCTCCTCAGCAGTAGAGCCTCCTCAGCAGTAGAGACTCCTCAGCAGTACATCCTCCTCAGCAGTAGAGCCTCTTCAGCAGTAGAGCCTCCTCAGCAGTAGATCCTCCTCAGCAGTAGATCCTCCTCAGCAGTAGGGCCTCCTCAGCAGTAGATCCTCCTCAGCAGTAGATCCTCCTCAGCAGTAGATCCTCCTCAGCAGTAGATCCTCCTCAGCAGTAGGGCCTCCTCAGCAGTAGGACCTCCTCAGCAGTAGAGCCTCCTCAGCAAGTGTTTTGTGTTCAGATATGACAGAAATATCCCACACAGATATCACAGCTACATTTGCAGGTTCGGAATCAACACAACCCAACTACAGTATTACACAATCCTGAATGAAACAGTGACACACAACTCACCACTGGGGGCAGCACCTTTCACTCGTGCGCTGGACGCCAGAGTCCATAAGAACCACAGCCACAGACGCTTCATTGAAGAGAAACTTCACTAAACAACTTTAAACTGGACAACAGACGACAGAAGAGCAGCGAGAGCTTTGCAGACTCTTATCAGAGAAGTCAAAGGCCGTGTTGACACGTCCGGAGCCGATCGATACATAATCTATACATCATGAAGAAATCACTTTAACACTTATATTTAGATTAAAGGGGTCAGAGCTAGTGGTGGCACAAAGAGTGATAATAATACATTCACTTTTCAATTCATATTTGTTTGTTCCCAACATATTTTCATTATTTCTGAAAAGCCAAACGTCTCCAGTCATTAGAAAATATTTAATATAGTTTTCAGATTTTTTAAAATACAAATATTTCCTTTTACAGTTTTATAATAGATCATACTTCACATGTCTCGTGTGTTGGTCTTTGCAACAACAAAAATCAATAAATGATGAGACAAAATGTAAAATAGTTCATGGGGTATGAAGACTTAACTGTGAGATTCTATGGACATTAGAAACTAAACTGAAAGATTCTCACTAAAAGCAGACACAGTGAGATTGTTGAAGAGTCAAATGAAGACACCGTTTGTTTTTTGTTTTTTATTAAATAGAAAAAGACAGAAAAATAAATACATTAGGAACAGTCCATTGTTCAAGAATAAATCTGACATCAATTACAGAGGTCACTGCGGTTTTCTAAACATCTGAAAACAGGAAATCTCCAAAGAGACACAGAGCAGGGACCCAGGAGAGAAGCATCAGGGATAAAGGCATCAGGCCGAAAGAGACACAACAGTAAACAGATGCAAATGTGTTATGAGCACAGGGACTAGCCTCCTGCTGGGACTCTGAGGAGCACAGGGACTGGCCTCCTGCTGGGACTCAGAGGAGCACAGGGACTGGCCTCCTGCTGGGACTCTGAGGAGCACAGGGACTGGCCTCCTGCTGGGACTCTGAGGAGCACAGGGACTGGCCTCCTGCTGGGACTCAGAGGAGCACAGGGACTGGCCTCCTGCTGGTCCCAGAGTCAGGACTGAAACATGAGAAGGCAGCATTTCAGATTTATGCAGCTAAAATCTTCCTGAAAATATGAGACAGACTTCTTGTGATGTTCAAATCCAGGTTAAACAGTTTAGCCGTGTGTCACTGAGGGATTTTATCTTATGATTTTAATGCTTTGTGTGAGGGTCTCAGGCTTTAGAATTTTTTTTTTTTTTTTTTCAAACGCAGGCTAAAATAACGTTATTCTAAAGAGAGTAAATTATAATTTGGAATAATAATAATAATGCACATTTAAGGACACTGAAAGACGCTTTACGTGCCATTATTCTTTCACTCCATACCAAAGGTGAACAACTGTAGCCACAGCTGCCCTGGGGCACACTGACAGAAGCGAGGCCACCAGTATGTGCCATCGGCCCCTCTGACCACCACCAACCACTCATTCACTCACGCAGGTTCGGCCACAAATGACATGTTTACATTGAAAAGTCATAAATATGTCTTAAATATAAATAATAAAGTTTTAGAGTCTAAGGTCAATTACATTTCATTTCTTCAGTCGACCACAATCGCCCTGTTTTAAACCTGCTCCAGATGTGTCTAAGTTTGTCACAATCTTTTTACCCAAAGAAGCTCCATCCACAGCTTTCATCGTGAGGACCTCTACTCTAGTATCTAAATCTAAATATCTAAATATTGTGTTGAATCGTTGATCAGAGATTCACAACGATCCTAAATCCTCATCATCAAATCAAAACGAAGGCTTCTCTTGAGACATCGAGGTTTGAAGACGTAAGCCCTTGTTATATATAAATAAATACATAAATGGGGACAAAAGGGAATCTGAAGAAGACTCATAAACAGATCATTGATTTGATATTTCAGATGTGGCAACAGTTGTTCCACGGGCAGTTATTAAAATAAAACAAATATGAAGTGAAGGAACATTAAAATCAATTGTCAAACACTTCTAACTCAAATATGAAAACAGAAGAGAGAGCAGCCCTTATTTTATTTATTTATTTTTTTGCGCCTAGACCTAAAATAGCCACTTCTGCTAGTGAAGCAACTGATTTTTTTTATCTATTCTTCTTGTGAATTATTAAAGTTGTCCTTGTGTACTTTACTTAATTGGTAGTTTGTGGGATATTTATTTGCATTGCTGATTGTTTGCGTTGTGGAGGTTGTTGACATCTGTTGTAGAGCAGCTCGTTGCCAGTCGAGGATGTAGAAGTAAGTAAGTAAATAAGTAATTTTCATTTAAATACCGCCTTTCTCAGACCAGAGTCACAGCGGTTTACAATTATGGGCATTTCTATCTCACTCCACACAGACATGGGGGCGGGGCCAGTACAGGAGGCGCATGCCAGAGCGGAGCACCCAGAGGAAACCTACGCAGACACGGGTAGAACATGCAAACTCCACTCAGAAAGGCCCTGTTCCGACCAGGATTCGAACCCAAGACCTTCTTGCTGAGAAGCGAGAGTGCTATCCACTCCACCACCAGACTCCAAGTCCACCAGACTTGGAGTCTGTAACAGTGGCTTCATTCATTCATTCATTCATTCATTCATTCATTCATTCATTCATTCATTCATTCATTCATACATTTCATTCATACATTGTGTGAGAGGGGGTTGGATGTAAATAAGTATTTTCTTCTGCCGACCCTCCTTTCAAACCCTGCATATGTTTACATGAGGAGTTGTCTGAAAAACATTATGTGCAGGTTTGAAATAAATAGATTGATGAATTGAAAGTAAAAATAATATTGAAGACAAAGCTATTCTGTGAGTATATTTCGCCTGGTCTTTCCGCACCATCGTACTCATTTCATTTTGCACTTAGGTCTGGAGGTGCTCCGTTGAGCTCGGTTAACAGGTGGGAGGGTTTAACTCTTTTTGCAGCGATTTTTTTTTAAACGATTGGATCTGAGTTTACTGTGACGTTTGTAATGCGCCCGAGTGAGTCGTTAGCATTTAGCATTTATCCTAGCTTTAGCCATGTCCTTTGCCACTAATGGAGCCCGTGGGGAGTAGAGCCACAGCATCTTTGCAGCTATGATATTTGCTAAACATTGCTCTTGCTCCGGCTTCAATTCGATATTTGGAGCCGAACCAGAACAGATTACTTTACAATCACATTCTCTGCCATTGCCAAACTACAACCTGCAAATTTTCCAAAAACTCTTGACGTCACAACACCGACCTACAACACCTGCCTCCCGCTGGCTGAATGGTCGGAGGGGATTCAACCGAGGAAAATGCAGCTGCTGGGATCAGACCCAGACGTACATGTAGGAAATGATAATTGACCGGAGTTTACAGATGGCTAAGTCCAGGCTAGAGTATATACTGTACACTACACTGGCAACGCAAGGGGGAACCACCTACAACCTTGCCCAGGGCGCCAGATTGGTTAAGCCCTAGCCTGCTGCTGCACACAACCATAGGGCGACTGCTGGTGCTTCTTCAGGTTACAGATCCAGGCGAAGCTCCTCCCACACTGGTTGCAGCTGTAGGGCTTCTCCCCGGTGTGAACTCGCTGGTGCTTTTTCAGATTCCCCGCTTCGGCGAATCGTCTGCCGCACGTGTCGCACTTGAACGGCCGCTCCCCCGTGTGCACTCTCTGGTGGATGGACAGGTTCCAAAGCGCGGGAAAGGGTTTGCCGCAGACTTTGCAGATGAACTTTTTCCCGCCTTGCCGTGGGGGGGTGGTGAGGAACTGGAACATTTGGTTTGAAGCCGCGCTGGTGGACGGGGCGGAGGAGGGGCTCAGAGTCAGGTCGTGGATGTTTGCGTGTGTTTGTTGCTGTGTTGTGTTGTTGGGGAGAGAGTGTGTGTTTCTCATCGCGGCTGGAGTCCATCTGGAGTGAACCGCCTGGATCTGGATGGAAGACAGACCTGTGGAGACAAGGGGACAGTTTAAACATGCACACGTCCTGGGTCTACAGCCTCAGTCCTGGGTCTACAGCCTCAGTCCTGGAGCTACAGCCTCAGTCCTGGATCTACAGCCTCAGTCCTGGATCTACAGGCTCAGTCCTGGATCTACAGCCTCAGTCCTGGATCTACAGCCTCAGTCCTGGATCTACAGCCTCAGTCCTGGATCTACAGCCTCAGTCCTGGATCTACAGCCTCAGTCCTAAAGTGATATCGAAGCAGTTTATGCTAAGGTTTATTTGGGTCAGACTTGTTGTCATATGTTAATGATGGGTCTTGACACGTTCCAGTTGAAATCTACAGTCTACAACATATTATTTGGTTCTTGTCCCTGTGCTATTATCACTTATTATTTCAACCTTTTTTGTGTTTAAAAAAGAGCTGACAGGTCCTGACCTTGTGAAGCCCTGGGCTGCGGCTGGCCTTTCGCTGGTCTTCTTTCTCCACTAAAAGTCTTCTGCGTGGATGCGTTTCCCCTGACTGACCCACAGGGCGGCGCTGTCGAGCCCTCGTCCGGAGCCCAGCACGAGAAGAACGGTTCCAGCTCAAAGAAAGCCAAGTCAGGCCCAGAGAGAGACGAACCGGGGATCTTCATCTGAACGCCACCGGACTGAAGAGAGGGAGAAGATTACTTATTTTATCAAAAGGTGGTTTATGGTGGTTTACAGAACCATTTATCTTTCCTTCCAAACTATGTATTTACAATGAAACAAGTGTACTAGCAAGGAACAAGAACGACTACCCCAAGACCAAACTGTGAGAGATAATGAGATTGCATTTATGTGACATCACAACATTCCTAATAGCCAATAGTGAAACATTGTGGAAGCCTCCTCGGTGCTACAGCACACAGCCCCAGTCCTCGTTCTACAGTCTGAGTCCTGGATCTTTGGCCTGTCTGTCCATAGAAGCGGATCCCTCTCTCGATGTGGGGCTCCCAGAGGTTTTTCACTTATTTTCGTTCCTTGCCAAAGTAAGAGAGTCTGCGGACAGTGATGATCCTGGACATATAGGGACATTTGTTTGTAATCATTTCCTGTGAACGGTCTAATTCTCAGATCTGTTGGGCTAGACACACAAAAATTGAATTGGCAGAGTGCAGCTGAAAAATCATGTGTGGCATCTATGGGTTTCCTGGACACATTTTCTTAGTCAGCATGTATCAACTATAGTCTTTTTTTCTCAAAAGGTGTCGACACAATTCAAAAACCTGTGCCCGATGTTGGCCGGTAAAAAATTTCAGTTAAATGTAATCGCTTTCAAAACTTGCTTATTTTCCAGAGAGTTAATAATGCACCCGTTGGCAGTGCTTCTCAAAGTGTGGGGAGGTAGAAGGGTGTTCCTGCTATTTCTCCAGATTATTGCGAAAATCGATAAAAATAAAATAAATTGGAGTGGAATAATACATATAAAAACCTTCACATCCGCCTTTCAGATTTCCTAAAACCTGGAACAGTCTTCATGAAAATGTGAGACAGGCCTTTTCTGACTATGTTAAAATCCAGGTGAGTAAATGTCTCCAGTGAGATCAAACACATTTATTCTCACATTATTTTGAATGTACGGTGATTATTTTTCCCTTGTGTGTTTGTGTCTAGTCTTGTTGAGCACTTTTGAGTTGCTTGTGTATGAACTGTGCTATATGAATAAACTTGCCTTTCCTTGTCACTATTGACTTGTTTTGAAACTTAAAATGCATTTATACGATACACATTTCTCAGCAGTAGGGATTATGAGCTGCAGGTTTTTAAGTGAAATGTTTGAAAACTCCTGGTCTACAGTTTTGCCAACTTTCAAAAACAAGTTCATCCAAAAGCAAATTTAATCTAATCTTCTAACCAAAAATTTAGTTTTGACTTTCCAGGTAAAGGCAAATTATGAAGATCTTAGAAAATCAAAAAATTACAGCCATGAGAAAATAAAGGCTTTTAAAACTATTGACCACAAGTGCCTTGGATTTTTTTGATTTTCTAAGATCTTCATAATTTGCCTTCACCTGGAAAGTCAAAACTTCATTTTTTGTTACTAAGTTAAACCCCTCTTCCAATGGAGCACCTGGTCTTTTAAATAACTTTATACGCTTGTACCACGCAGCACTCCTTTCCTTCGTTACTAATCTAATCTATTGTTCTTTCCGTCTTTTGTCACAACAATTGTCTTCATCCTTCAAATGCGGGACCAGGTGTAGACTTAACGTGTTTCGCTGACATCAATATTTTGTGTTTTTGCCAAAATCATGAACAGAAAACTAGTGAATATTTCCTCGTGACTTTGAACAGATCATTCCTAAACTACACGTCTGAAATTGTGTCACAATTTTGACTTCTATGTCTTCTCTCTGAATACACAAGAGGCACAGACAGAATGTAAGTAACAATGAAACACACACAAACCACACATTTTCATTTGAGAATTTATTATGAAAATGCAGTTTTAAATATTACAAAATTGTGACACAATCCAGCTCCATTCCATGTACATGCAAAACACATCTCAGTGAAGGGCGGTGTTAAAAGAAATAAGGCAAACTGTTGAATATTTAAAGAAGCACAACGAATTATGTCAAAAATACTGTTCTGGTAAACATCAAACACAACTTAAATGGACTGTGTAACCGTAGCAACGGGCTGAAAGAACCAAGACATAAGGAAGCCATTGTCGTCATCCAAAGTATAAATATGGATTCAATTAAAGTAGACTCAGGAATGAACAACAGCAAAAACAAATTAAATATAAATCTGAAAAAAAATATATATATAAAAATGCAGCTCAATCGAAGGAATTGTGTTTTTTAAACCAGTGTTTCGAGTTTTCACATTAAAAAGGCATTTGTTGTTTTAAGTAAAGCATGAAAAAAAATAAAAAAAGTAATCGATCGAATGGATTCAAAGACCTGCTCACATTAAGATGGACTCGTCTGTGTGTGACATCACCCAAGACAAAACGCAGTCCAGTACTGTCAAAACTGGTTCCAGAGAGGGCCGGGTGTAGCTGCAGGTTTTCACTCCAACCAAGCAGGAGCACACCAGACTCCACCCATTTCCTCAAGACTCCAGGTTAAGACAAATCTCACTTGAGGAAATGGGTGGAGTCTGGAGTGCTCCTGCTTGGTTGGAGTGAAAACCCGCAGCCACACCCGGCTCTTTTGAGGCACACACAACTACAGCGCCACTGTAGGCAAAACTGCAGGCCACAACTTTCCCAAACCTCGTCCAAACTTAAAATAAAGAACGCCAAATAATCACGGTTATTTCCTGGTTTTCTAATTTGCTTAAAATTGGCCAAACACCAACAGGATATATGTCCAGCAGTGTTTTAAAAGTTAGAGATTAAAGGGCTGTGATAATGAGTTTTTTACGCAATTCTAGAGTGTGTGTGTGTGTGTGTATTTGTGCGCCCGTTCTAAAAGCAAAAACGCATGTGCGATCAAGTTACTCCAGCCTTCAAATATCATTGAGTTTAAATTATCAAACCGTAACTAACCAAAAATGATAACTTCAATGAGAGATAACAGAATAAAATGTCTAAACTTAAACTGTATAATTATTTCCAATGAACCACAAAAACTAAACTCTGCAACTAATGAAAAGTACACGCGATAATTAACACACACAACCGTCCAACCATTTTCTTCCGCTTTATCCGTTGCCGGATCGCGGACTCTTTAGGGGAAATCTCGAGTCAATCTCAATCGGCTCCTTCAGCAGCGGCTCTATTCCGAGCTCCTCCCGTGTGATTCAGCGACCCATAAGAGGAGGGGACGTAGATTGATTGAGAGCTTTGCCTTTTTTGACTCGGCTCTAGCAAACAAACTTATAATAAAATCTTATAAGTCAATAGTAATATGCAAAAAAAAACTTATCAGGACATTTTGGATCTGGATAAATGAGAATGACTTATATTTGGAAAACTGTCCTATATTCTTAATGATTGCATCAGGACAAGCGGTCAACTGATAAAATTGCAAGAATGTGCATTTAAAGCTGGGGTACCAGACTTTATTCTGGAGTAAATGAATTTTGTTTCTCCAAAAACAAACATAAAAGGTTTTTTAAGACTTCGGGCTGAGTGAGGTTGGTCTCCTCTTTCATTTATCAATTTATTTAACTTCTGTCTTGAAAAGCTGAGCAAAATATGTGACCGAGGCGGAGTAGTATTTTTTGTTGTTGTGGGAGTTAGGTACCCCAGCTTTAAAGACAAGATGAGTATTTACAACAATAAAAAAAATCAAGAAATAGTTTGTTTTAAAATCATTTTCAATTCGCCTTCAGTATTAGTTATGGGCTAGTGTAGCATTGACTAGTGTAGCATTGGCTAGCTTAGCATTGATTAGCTTAGCATCGGCTAGCTCTCTCTCTCTATGTTCCTGGGCCGTTCGCCTCATCGAACTGACCAGCAGGTAGACTGTTGACACTGCCCTGATTGAGGTGTCTCTTTTCGTGCTTTTTGAGGTTACTGGGGTCTGAGAACCTCTCGTGGCAGACGCCGCACTGGTACGGCCGCTCCCCCGTGTGAATGTGCTTATGGATCTTCATGTTCCAGAACTGAGAGAACAGCTTCCCGCAGATGTTGCAGGCAAAGGGCTTCTCCCCCGTGTGCGTCCTAATGTGGGACTCGAGGTTCGCCGGCGAGCTGAAGCGCTTACCGCAGAAATCGCACGCGCAGTTGAGTTTGCGTTCACTTTTCGACGAGCGTTTTTTCTTACTCAAGAGGTCTATGCTCGTGTTTAGGAAATCGGCCTGGAGGTGTCCGGTTAAGTGGACACTGGGGAAAAGATTGTCGTTGGTGTTGAAAGCTGCCATTTGTTGTGAAGAGGGACCGGGAATCTGTGCGTCTTGTGCGAAATTAGTTAATTGTTCGTTAGTCCACAGAGAGGCGGAGGCAAAGCTAACCTCAGACAAACCCGGGGCGGGTTCTTGAATCTGATTGGCTGAAATCAGCTCGGCTTCGGGGAATCGCGGCTCCGCTTTGAAGTTGTCTGTGCTCGACTCGACAAGACCTATGTCAAAAAAAGAGAGAAAAAGTTACGTTTAGGATTTTGTCAAAGTGAAGTGTTGCTAGAAGTAGTAGTAGTAGTGTTGTAGCTAGGAGTGGCAAGAGACAGAAAATCCTCGTGAGACAGGAAGAAACAGTTGTTTGTTTTAATATCTGTTAAGTTTGCTAGCAACCTTATACAATTTATTTTAAAACCAAGAACTGACGACATCCATTGTGTTTTTTTTCTTGAAAAAAGAAGATTGGAGCTAGCTTGAACAGGTTAATTCAGCAGGAATCTGGAGCCAAATTGTGTTGGTGACAATGGCCGAGCAACCAGGTCTGTCTTTGCTCACGTTACTCGCTAGCTAAAGCTGAATTAGGGACAGAAGGCTCCTGATTGGTCAGTTGTTATGGCTCATATCTGTATTTCCAAAGACAGAATCACAATATAAACAGAAAGAGCACTAAACCATGGATTTTTATGCCTAATGTGGCGAGTGTGACGCTAACGATTACTGAGCTAGAGGAGTTTAGTCTTATAAGTAGGTCAAAGGGAGCCAGAGTGAGGAGGAGCCAAAGTAAGTAGGGGCAAAACTGTGTCCACAAGCACTTCCCTATTGGGCTCTATTTAGCTAGCGAGTCAGCATCCATCTATACACAGTCTCATTTTGGCAAAATTTCTGAAGAGTGGATTTTGACGACATTTTCAGTGAAGCTTGAAAATGGGGCAAAGAACAAAATTAGGAAATTGGTCCAGGGAAGAACTAGTAAGATTATAATTTTCATATGAAACTAATAAATATAACATAAGAACATTTATTCCAGTTAGGAAAGGTTGCACACAAGTAAACAAACAAAAGGCTTGAGAGACCTAAGTATAGACTCTAAATCAAATTGAATTGCGTATTTCAAAGTTGTACAAGTTTGACTCTGACTGTTGTGTTGGTAAAGTGTAATCGTGACCTTCTTGAATGTTGAGACTGGGAGTTTTGTTTCTTGCGCCCTCGGCCTGCTCCACTTTCACCAGCACCAGGTCCTCCTCGTCTTCCTTGTCGTTGTCATCGTGGTCCTCTTCCTGGTCCTCCTCCATCGCTTCCTCCGTCTGAAACAGAGCAAAACACAGGACTTTCAATCTAACGTTTACAAAGTTTAGAGCAACGGAAAAAAGCAACAACTTCACCGCATTTGAGAAACTTTGTAATCCATCTTTGAGATTCTTGTTACACTGTGTGGGTGTGTGTATGCGTGCGTGTGTGCGTGTATGTGTGTGTATGCGTGTATGTGTGTGTATGTGTGTGTATGCGTGTGTATGCGTGTATGTGTGTGTATGCGTGTATGTGTGTGTATGCGTGTGTATGCGTGTATGTGTGTGTATGCGTGTATGTGTGTGTATGGGTGTATGTGTGTGTATGCGTGTATGTGTGTGTATGCGTGTATGTGTGTGTATGCGTGTATGTGTGTGTATGCGTGCGTGTCGAGTACTACGGAGAGCAACAAGCGTATTATGATTAATAGCATTAATTTGGTTTTGTTTAGCACTTTGAGTTGCCTTGTGCGTAAACTGTGCTATACAAATAACCTTGCCTTGTTGAAACATGTTTTAAAAGACACAGACGAAAGGTGATTATATAAAAGATGACGTTTATAGACGTTTATTTGTTATCCTAGAAAACATGTTAAAAGGACTTAAATAACAGACTCTAATCTCCGTAAGGGTCAGTATTGTCCAAACACATTTTGGGACTCACTAAAATCTTAGTCTCATTTTCTCCAATTTTCAAGTCACAGTCCTGTTCAGGATAGGGTTAGAAACTGTTCATTTTGTTAAGGCTAGGATTGGGATAAGCTAGAAGCCGAACAAAACAAAGTTCATTATGATTTAATGTTAAGAAGTCAAAGTTGATGAAATACGACTGAAAGGTGCACTCAGCGAGAGTCGGTCATTTATTCTTCTATTGTTAGTCGATTAGTTTTAGATCCTGAAAAGCAAATAGAATGTTACTTTTAACCAAAATGAAGAGCAGTTACACATTGGCTCGTTAGATTAAAAATGCATGTTATGGTCTATGTAATGGTAGAAAAACGTGACTTTGCAGCTATATTAAAACTATTTCAACAAATAAGTCAATGTGATTATTTGTTCTACTTACAGCCCGACACAAGTGTATTTTTTTTATTTAATGGAGCCATGATCTCTGTCGGTGATTACCTCAGTACACAAGAGGCCACACTTTGTATCGAAATCAACAATGTTTGGGTAGAAAAAAACAAACAAATATGGACAAATATGAGTTTTCTGTGGCTGTTGGTGATGTCGCTGACACTGTGATTATAAAGGTTCGATCCTGGTCTTATTTGACGAGCACGTATCACCAGAATGATTGACAATTGGGAGGACCAATAGTCTTGATGATCCACCTGGAAGTAGAAAATAATCCTATATAACTTTAAATAGAACATTTCACAGACTAAGGTCCCACACAGGCATGCCACGTGGATTCTATTAAAAAAACATTAGTTGATATTAATGCATTTTTAGAGGTAGCCTGGATGGATATGAATGGGAATGGGCTCATAAAAATAAAAAGAGAAAGTTGATACCAAAATCCAGAGTAGATTGTAAAAAAAAATGTTTTACCTAGTTTTATTTTTGTACATGTCTGGTGCACACTGCGGACTTTTGAAAATACATTCCAATGTTGTTTTACTGAAACTGTTAAATAAATGTAAAGCTTGTTTTCTCTTGAATGTCCAACATTTCAAAAACCTGCCCTCTCTGACCCATCGGCTGTTGTACCTCTATTCATTTCCATTATGTGCCACAGGGAGGAGGAACTAGTCACATGTCTCTGGTCCCATGACCCGAGGAGTCGTCTGGGGAGGGGGAAGTCTGACGTCCCTGTCCAGTGCGTCATTTCAGAAGTGTGCATTTTGTTTTTTCCAACTTAGATGAAAGAGAAAAACAGAAGACTTAGAACCATGCTTTGATCATTTATTTGTAAAAACATGAACAGTTTAAATTGTACATGTATAAAATCCTAGTTAACCAATCATTACACATTTAGCTACATTAGAATTAAAGGCCTGCAGCGATATGCTAATGTCAAACAGCTGCTCTATGAAATGCTCTGGCCCTGAATTTTTGCTCAAACACGTGAAATACATGTTCAATGATTTAAAGAATACCCTGTAAAAGTTCCCAGAGCGACACCGGCGGCCAGTCCCGGCTGCTGGCAAAATATTTTGACCAAAAATAAGGAAAAAACAAATCCTCCTAAAGAACTTAAACATAGGCTTGACATGAAAAATTGCCAATTAGTATCAAACAATACTGTAGTTATTGAGTATAGGAGATTATGGAAGTCATACATTTGAGAATCAGCATCAACAACTTTCATAACTGAGGAGATTGGACCATTACCATTTTTTATACTTAAACTTGTTACTCTGTGGGCAACATTTTGACCATAACATTTCACGTTTATTAAAACTGTTTCCATATATCACAGGAGGAACTTTAAATGATTACATAAGTTGACAGCCAAAAAATGGTCAGGGGTTTCTCAACTAATTCAGACTAATGTTGGTGTTCTGAGTCCGAATATCACATGCATTTTGCTCTATCAGGTCAACTTTTTGAGATACAGCCATAGTGTTACGGATTATGTACGTCTACGTTATTATGAATTCTGCTTATCAAATTTGATGGAGTAAATAAAAACTGAATGACTTTGGATACGTTGACTTTTATTTCTTGAGGAAAACGGAAAAAACGTCAAGGGTTTCTCAGCTGATGATCCGCAGAAATTTGTTTTTTACGCAAAATCGAATTAAAAAGATTTCTGTAGCAAAAAATCCTGACCTGATTGAGCTAAACCAAGGTCATTTTTGGACTCAGAGCATCAAAATTAGTCTAATTCAGCTGGAAAACCCTGGACTATTTTCAAAAAATATTTTTTGTTACCCAGTGTTATCTATTATTATGAACTTGCAAACATTGAAAGTAAGTAGTTAATGCTGCCATGACGTCATCCGCAATTTTAAAAGCAATTTTCTTTTAAAACCACAGCTTTCATATTTTTGTATTATAAACATTGAATCCAGAATGCTCTTAATAGTAATAATAGCTTTATCAGACGGCAACAAAACAAGCTTTCCTTTGGGTTCCAGTTTTTGCAATTTTGTTCAGAAAAAATAAAATAATTTCATAATCCAAATTACTACATGTGTAATAAAATAAAATAATATTCCAAAAAAATGCACGTTTGGCCCTGGACCAAAGAGAGTCTGAAAGATGTATGTCCCCTTTAAGCTGGAGAGAGCACACAGGGAAACACTGCCTTATAAGACACATATCATACAAACTGGTCTTTGAGTTTTTAACCACGTTTCAACATATTTCCTCATCAAAAACATATCTGTTATGGTTATTAGCTTTATTCACACTAATACCAGTACATACACACATCACCCCCACCCCATCTGTTCAAAGAGCCCCATACTCACAGGGTTAACATTAGGATTTCCATACGACAGTCTTTACTGATGGGTGTAGCAGTTTGTGATACAAGTAACATGTAATTCCCCGCTTCTACCACCAGATGGGGATGTTTTACTGATCCTTACCGTTCTTTAATACACGTTTATCCATATATTCTCCACTTTCAAAAATAATTTCACCTTCTGACCAACATGGAATGCCAGGGCGACAGTGTTTCAGGTTGAGAAAAGGACAAAGCGCGTCCAACTAGGAGTCCATCTCGTCCTGGCAGGCCTCCGGGTGGCACTTGAGTTTGTGGTTCTTGACGTTCCGCACCCAGGCGAACGAGGCGCCGCAGAGGTCGCAGCTGTACGGCTTCTCGCCCGTGTGGATGCGCTGGTGCTTCTTGAGGTTGCCCGCCTCCGAGAAGCTCTTGCCGCAGGTGACGCAGCTGAACGGGCGCTCTCCCGTGTGGATGCGCTGGTGGATCTCGACCTTCTTGGGCCGGTTGAACCCCTTGCCACAGAAGCTGCACACAAACAGCCTCTTCTTCGGCGGCGGCTGCATCCACGGTTTCCCCCCCTCCGGAAAGTCTGTGACAATGGGATACTCGAGGATGTAGGGCGACGGTCCGTTTGGGTTGGAGGACGTTGGTGAAAAATCGTTTGGGGACACCGAGTAGGAGCACGTCGGCTTTTCCACGTCCATAGCCTTGCTTAAAAGATCTTCTACTATCGCCATAGGGCTTTTGTTGTTGCACATTAAGTCGAACGGTAAGTCACTGTTAGATTCAGAAGGAGAGGAGTCACTGACCTCCACTCTCCTGTTGGTGGCGCTCTTTCGTCGCAGGGGTCTGGGCGGGCTCTGGGTCTTGGCGCAGCTCTGGACTTGGCTGATTCTGGGTCCATCTGCGGCGCAGGGGGCCGGCTGCATGATGTCTGCAACAAGAGGTAAAGATGAGGGTCGAACTAGAAGCACGGCGGTGATGATCCAGGACACAGAGAGGCCACTCACACTGGGGCATCAAAGCCTTCAATCAACACCATCCATTCACTCAGTACATTCAGAACTATTGTACATGTTTTTAATGATCAGAGCACCCGGACGAAACCTACGCAGACACAGGGAGAACATGCAAACTCCACACAGAAAGGCCTGGAGGTGGAATCGAACCCAGGACCTTTTTGCTGGCACAAGCTCTAACCGCTGCGCCGCCGTACAAACAATACAACTCACAATTGATGACTAATTACAAAAGTCAGTTATCAAATTCTTCTCGGAAAATAACGTAAGCACCAGGTTCAGCTCTGCAGCTTCCTGATTGGACGACATTAAATCCTTTACATTTCTCATGCAGCAAATCTTACAGGTAGTCTTCTCTATTGGGCTTCATTGAGCTAGCGGGTTAGCATTGTCCTAGGGCTGGGCAATATGGCCAAACAATTAAATCTAAATTTTATTTCCTGCTTTGGACGATTTCCATTTTAAATTGATTAAACCGATTAATTGCCTCGCTTTTTTCAATTTATTGCCCAGCCCTACACTGTCCATCTATATACAGTCTATGGTCACAATAGTGTGGACCAGCGACACACTTAGTGCCACCATCTGGAAATGACAGGGCTATTTCAATGAGAGACAAAGTGGAGAGATCCTTCATTCGTCCAGGAGAGAACCTCAGAACCGGTTTCAAACATCACATGGACCAAGTCTCCAGTGGGAACTTCCAACGTCTCTTTGTGAAATCATGTTCGCGACACATAGGCTCATCATAATGATTACTAATAATGGTTATGATTATCTGATGGATAAATGATAAACTTGAAGTAAACTCAACTCAAATATGTAGCTCTGTGATAAAATCCATGTCACTAGTTCCTGGATATAAAACAGTTGTCACTTCCACATGTGCAGCATCTTTGGCTTCAGTCACATCCTTAGATCAGCGCGCATCAGATCCTGTGCTGGTGTCTGATTTGTTTAAAAATTATTTGTTTTTGATCGGCCCATGTCTGTGAATACTCACTTTTTTTAAACTGAGCTTAGACTGGATCTGCCCTTTTGCAAACGTCAACTTCTGTGCGGAGAGCGGAGACAAAAGACTGGGTCAACAGGCTCTGGACCATTACTATTTATAGATCAAGCTTCACAGGCGCCTTTCCTGGTCCTTGCGGGGACCGAGTACCTGCAGACTTTATGGTTAAATATGATGAAATACTACTTAAATCTGGTTTTTGTTCAAGTTTGTTGCAATAATAATTTTCTTGATCAAAATATGGTCCATGAAAAGTAGTTATTGTAGTTGTTTAAGTGGTACGCGTCAGTTACACCACATTAAACTTCTCCCATCTTTGTGCAAATATCTTTTAAACTCTTAACGGAGAAGCAAAAGAAAAGCCTCTCTCTGGGGTAACACTGTTGGAAACTCTAGGTGTATTTGAACTCACCGTTGTCTTCAATCAGATGGACGTCGTCTTCTTGTTTCGTCTCACATTTCGTTTCCTCCTTTACAACAACCGGATCCACAAACTCCACATCCGGGGACTGAGACAAAAACATAAAACATTAACCAAACGTACTACAAACTTTTTTAGGTTATAGTAAATATTTCAACGCTGTGAAACTTACTTTGCTCGGAGGACATTGGGGCTCCTCCGCGGCGCCGGAGGTGAGAGCTCGTTGCGGCCACAGAGACTGCTGCTGCTCAAAGGCTCCATCTGGGAAATCAACACATACACAATTATATTTAAAAAAATATCAAGAGTAATATATTTGACAAGATATTTCTCACTGCATGTTGTTGGTTGTAATACTGAGGAAAAAAAAGGCTCCTAAAAAGCGTATATAGTATACACAAATACACTTCACAAATAGTTTATCTAAAGCTTAAACATAGATAAGAAAGTTTGACAGGCTCCTGGTGCAGACTGCTTCTTGGATTGTGCTTCCTCAGCTGGTTTTATGTTCACTCAGCCTCAAGTTTCCTCTTTTAGTGTGTGCATGTGTAAGTCCGTAAGGGGGGGGGGGGGGGTATACGTGTGTGAGTGTCTGTGGGTATGTGTGCGTACCAGACTGTACATGGAGTCTATGGTGTGGATGGATGCATAAATGGGACTGTTGTCGTTTGGGGTGTGTCAATGTTTATAGTGAACTGTAAAGCTCTTTGTGGTGCATTGGTGAATGACAAGTTTAGTGAATGAAGCATTAAGGCTGTGACAAGTTCATTAATCAAAACCAATGGTTCTTTGATTACTGAAATAATTGTCCGCAAAATTGGCATACAGCGTTAGATTAGATCTAATTGCAAACAGTGTTAAGGACTCCAGCAAAACAATCTCAACTCATTGACTGCCAGCCGTTTTTGATGATTTCACTGATTCTCAAGACCCACAGAATATTATTTCCTAAGACTATGTGAAATATGAAACCAGATTCTGAAATACTGGATTGTCTACTTTGATCAGCAAAAATAAGTTTGTTTCTAGCTGTTTTTATTGTCCTGTAATCCCCAGTCGAATATAGGGTCTCAGACAAATATGTCAATGGCAGTCAATGAGTTAAATTACTGAACATTTAACAACCACTATATTGATTAGCACCACCACTTAAAAGTTTAGACATCTCAGTCAAATAATGTCCGAATGTAGAATATGGGACCGCAGCCCAGAGCCTCATGCTGCTAACGTGTAAAGTAGTTTCATAATCATAGAATATATCAACCTACATAGCTTCAATACTTAATTATTGTAATTAAGTCTACAGCCCTATATATTACATGTTAATACACACTAATACATTGATTCTTTGTTAACTTGAGGATTTTAGTATAAAGTAGTGTACTTAAGTTAAAAGGTATAAAAAGGCCCTTCCGGGTGGATCATCAAGAAAATTGGTCCTGGCAATTGTCAATCATTCTGGTGATAAGTGCTTGTCAAAAAAAAACATAGAGTCTTGTTCAAAAAGTGGAGAGGGCGATTATTTTCTAAAATGTGGGAAATCCTCCTATACACCATTAACCATTGTGTGCTCCTCATTCCTACTGTTTAAATTTAAATTTATTCTTTAGAAGTTTTTTATTCTTATTTTTATGATCTCTTTTTGACTGTTGCACTGAGCCAAAGCAATTTCCTAGTCTGTGACCTCCTGTTACTTACGTGGCAATAAAAATGATTCTGATTCTGTTCTGTAACTTGCGATGCAACACTGACATTTCCCCCACTTTGGGACGCATAAACTCTCTTGAACCATACTCCTTGACCCTTCAGAACCGCACGTGAGCTAACAGCTAAGGCTACATGCTAAGGCTAGTCTCTACCTGCAGCCGGCGAGGTGATCTCCCGGAGCCTGTCGCTGGTCCCCCCGCTGAGCTGCACTCTCATGCGGCTGCTGTTGAAGGCACTCTCCCGGAGCCTCCTCTCCGCCGTGCCCCGGGCCATCTTCAGCTCCAGGAGGTGTAGCTTCCTCTTCAGGGCCTTGTTCTCCTTCTGGCACTGGGACATCTGCAGACTCACCACCGCGTAGTCGTCGTCCACCAGTTTGCAGATCTCGGCCACAGCAGCGTTCGCCAGCACCTCCATGATGGACGCCAGCTGGGTCTGAAAGGCCAAGCGACTCGCCATGGCGCTGGTTTATCACACTCTGGCCCGCTAGAATCGACGCTATTACGTGCTAAAATGTTTGTTAGGAGCGAGCATTTAACCAACAGATGGTTTAGTTTGACGTTTCTGTGCTATAAACGAGTGTAAGCGAGCCGCAAGTAGAACAGTTCGGTCTTCGGCGAGAGGATTCTAGGGTTGCCAGATCCACGTAGCAACAAGCTCAGTCAGGGGTTTCCGGAGAGCAAATAAATGTGTGTTCATTCCGAATCCTCAACAACATCGGAATGACTGCAAATGAACATACCAACATCGAAAAAAACAAAAATATATTCAAACACTATACATACATCACGCTACATACATGCACACCAGGATAAGCGAATCCAAGAGCTGTTTTTTTCTTTTACAAACTTCAGTCTTAGTAGTGCATTATGGCAGCTTCAGGCATTGGTTTAGTTATTTTATTATTTTACCCAAAACGTACTCGTAATGGAAATTCAAACAAGAAATACAAAAGAATATAAATATGAAACACAGGACATTGTGAAAAATCACCAAATCACGCTAAATTAGCGGATTTGGCAACTACAGCCAATCGTCACATCCGGGTTCGGGCCGAGCCCCCTCCCCCTCCCCCAGCATTTTAGAACTGATATATAGGTTAATTGCGTCAATGCTAAACGTGTGAATATAACTGAAATATGGCAATAACAGTGGCTATATTTTTCTTAAAATCGCGTGTCATCATATCACACACATCACACGTAAACAGTGCGTTGCCATGGTCACGAGCGCTTGCACTGCTTTGAAGAAAATTGTTTTTTTATCAAAATTGTTAAAAACTAGTCCAGGACCAGTTCAGAACTGGTCCAAAACCAGTACAGTACCAGCACCTTGAAATGAGGGCTTTACAGGAGCCTTTTAAACCCGATCAAAGTCAATCAAAGAGACCAGGAGAGAGCAGGGGGGAACTACACATAGACACTGAAAAAGGACAATTCCCAAATTAAAAGCTGGTGAAAGTGGAAATTACATTACATTAATATGAACAGTTTAGTAGTAGTAGTAGTAGTGTTTATTTCGAATTACATGCGCAATACAAAACAAAACAAAAAGAAGAAACATATATATGCACAATTCGAAAAGGAGTAGGTAGAAGTGAAACGTATGCTTCCTACCCCTTATTTATGACTTTTTAACTGTAATTTACATGGGTGAATTATACTATAGTAACTTCCGATTATTTGTTTGGCCTTTTCCCCTCTGTTGTTGTCTCTTCTCTCATTTGAATATAGTTAGTTCACAATCCTTCAAAGAATGTAAAATCACAATCACATGTCCTAAACTGAATTTACAGTTCTCGCTTCTCCCTTTTGTCCACTAGAGGGCAGAAGCTGTGCATATATCATTCATTCACACATAAGTTTTTCCACATCCTGTTGGAAAAGTTGCTTGTGCACCACCTCCCCCTTCTCGGGTCATTACCTGCTTCTGTAATTCCACCAATACATTTATTTTTTACACTTTCACACCTTGTTTTTTATACACGATCAAAACCATGTGGCTCTTTGGTGGTCCCAGGCCGTCTTTAGTCTGCGTCCTGATGATGGTTTCTCTGGTGTGCGTGATGGCACAGACCCACGCCTCCCCTGGTTCTGGCTCCGGGGTGATCCACGACTTACGGGCCGCTCTGGGGGACCTAGCCGGGGAGGGTCGCTCCTACCTGGGCAAGCTGGCAGGGGAACAGACGCTGATCTCGGTTCAAAAGGTAAAGAAAGTGGATAAATGCGACTCTAGCTCATAAAATGTACATAAACACTGTTAATTCTGTTTTTTTTAAGTTATTATATATCTATGTTGGCTCAATTGAAAACATACCTAACTTTTGTATTTTTATGACTAAAGCAACACATTAGGATGAGCTTAGTACTTGCTGACAAAAGCTATGCAAAAAACACTGGAGGACCTCAACTTCCTGGTTTAACTAGTTTGCATGTTTATATTCATAATAATAATTTCCCTGTGCATGTTTGTCAGCTCGTTTGTGTTCAATCTGATTTCACTTTTAAACCCCTTTTATTATTATTATTATTAATATTATTAGTGTTTTTATTATTACTATTGTTTCATAACCAATGAAAAATGCTGCATAGAGGAAACTTATCACAAAGTTTTCAATGTTATGATGTATGTTTTAACCAAAGATTTAATTGATATGGAGTCATGTTGTTTTGACCGTGCCGGGCGGCCACCGTGCCGGGCGGCACGGTGGCTGAGTGGATAGCACTCTCGCCTCTCAGCAAGAAGGTCCTGGGTTCAAATCCCGGTTGGACCAGGGCCTTTCTGAGTGGAGTTTGCATGTTCTCCCCGTGTCTGCGTAGGTTTCCTCCGGGTGCTCCGGTTTCCCCTACCACTAAAAATATGTACAATAGGTCTGGCATGTGCCTCCTGTACTGGCCCCACTACCAAAAATAACAATTGTAAACCGCTTTGAGACTCCGATGTGCAGTGAAAAGGCGGTATATAAATAAAGATTACTACTTACTTACTACTTACTTTTGACTGCTCCTACTGTTATGTAATGTGTGCTGCAACTGTGAAATTCCCCTTCTGTGGAACAAAGACAGGTCCTTGATCCTATATTAGTTACTCTCTACTAAAGATTTCAGGGCTCAGAAAAAATTTGTTTCACCTACCACCTATCCCAGACCATTTCTTTAGACTTCTATCTAAAAACTATAGGCTGTTTTTAGATCTAAGAAAAGGCCTCATTCTTTGTCTAATGAAAGTCAAATAATGTCTTTTGTATTTACCTACAGGTGAAACTTGCAAAATTAGAATATGGTTCATAAGTTAAAATGGGTTTTGTTTGGAGTTTTTTACGAGCAGTGAGCCATAATTATCAACATAACAAATAAACACTCGAGATATCTCACTTTGAGTCTTTCACTGAGGAAAAGAACAAAGTTGAACAAACAAAGTACAAATGTAAAGGACTTTTCAACAATATTCTAATTTCCCGAGTTTCACCTGTGACTGTTTTCTGCACTGTCTTTGTGTAATTGTAAATATATTTTTCAGGCTTTTGCAAATGTTTTTAAAGTTATCGCAGAAAACGTGGCCAGTGGACTGAACGTGGTCCTGCAGTATGTTTCACACCTGTTCAAAACGGCCGGAGTAAATGGTAATTTAACTGCATTTTCCTAGCCTTGGTTTCTGTACTGTAATGTCACAGACTAAAACCATATTTGATCTTTTCTGAACAAAAGTTTTGTTTTACGTACATTTTTTAAAGATTTTTTACATTACATTACAACAACAAAACAAAAACCGATACAACAGAACTTGGGGTCAGTTGTCAATTACATTTATTCCCACTTTTTAAAAGAAGTTATTCTAAATTAAAAATACAATTTACATGATATTATATTTACAATTTTCAAACAAAACATCCAATCACAGAGCAGGATGAGGCCCTCATTTGGGTTGCCATTTTGTTAGAGCCAAGACCAGCTAAATGTCTCCTCTTCACACACATTCACAAAAATAGCACCACACGTGTTTCAGTGAAAGCAGATATAGAAAAATAAGCTGTTAATACATACCACAGAGTTTGTTCTGTTTCTAGCTTAACCCCAGCAGGTGGGTTGCATCAGTATCCAGTGCTTAGGAGCCACATGTGTCACAGGCAGCAAGATTTGGGCAACATTGGATTGTAATTGTAACGACCTCAATAGAGAGTACATATTACAATTACCCTTTAATTAACACTGAATCAAGAGACCGTTTACATTATGTTATTGTCAAGTTATACACTGCATAAAGTGATGAAAAAATAGTCAAAAATTGCTCAGATTTGGCAAAATGTATCTTGTATGTATGTATGTAATCTTTATTTATATACCGCCTTTTCACTGCACATCGGAGTCTCAAAGCGGTTTACAATTGTTATTTTTTTGGGAGTGGGGGTGCAGTACAGGAGGCACATGCCAGACCTATTGTACATATTTTTAGTGGTAGGGGAAACCGGAGTACCCAGAGGAAACCTACGCAGACACGGGGAGAACATGCAAACTCCACTCAGAAAGGCCTTGGTCCAACCGGGATTCGAACCCAGGACCTTCTTGCTGAGAGGCGAGAGTGCTATCCACTCAGCCACCGTGCCGCCTTAATCTTAATTTGAACACATTTTGACTGCATGAAAACAATATTTGCACATGGAACAAGCAAAATAATCTTGTTTTAAAAAGATACAAGAAATGTCTCCCTTGGAATGAGAAAATAATGCAACAGTTCTTGAAATAAGTATGAAAGTAATGTTATTTTTATAAAGCACATTTTACAGACCAAGGTCACCCCCAAAGCACTTTACAATGTTCAGAGAGAAATAAGTCCCGTTGGAAAATCTTGTTTTAGTGTCAAATTAAGACAAAAAACACTTGATATTAACGGCTTATTAAACGAGCAAGCGAGGTTAATAAATGTTTTATTATATGATTATTTTTAATTCATGCAAATATCGATCTCCGACTTGGTTTACCTAATAGTTTTTTAGCTTTCTGATCTGTAACGAAGGTGTCAATCTCTTCCTTACTGTTAGGAGTTGTGTTTTCGTCGTTATTGTCTGTTATTACTTCCTCTGGCTCTTCGAACTTGTCGCTCATTCTTTTTTTACCAAGGAAAGACGTCAAATTTGATACGCGCTTCGGACCAATTGTCACGGTAACGGTTTGAGATGGGAAAATATCGGACTGCAAATCAACCAATCAGAGCGCACGTACGGTCCAAGTCATATAATAAAAGCACTTATTACCTCAGAATCAATGTTTTGTTGTGTATTCTGTAAAGTTACATTCTCCCACACAAAGTCCTTCTCACAGTGTGTTCCATATGGTCTTCCCAGTGACTCTCCCAGCCCGCGTGACCCCGTCGGGCGTGATCTTCGTGGTGCAGTGGGTGCTGGTGGCGCTCCTCACGTACTGGATCATCTCCCTGACCTTCCAGCTGGTCGCCTCCACCCTCAGGCGCGCGCTGTGGCTGCTCAAGGTCTGCGTGGCCTTGTTCTTCTTCGTGCTCATCCTCCGGGACCACAGCGTCGGCACCGAGTCCATGGCCATCCGGCTGTCGGTGCTGGTGCTGGTGTGCGTCCTGTTCGGCGTGGGCGCGACGGGAGGGTCCGCCGGGGCAGCCGATAAGACCGCCGACCTCGAGGAGCAGGTGAAGATTCTGGAGAGGAGGTTGAAAGACATGGAGCGATGGAGGAAGATAGACGAGTAACTTCGAGGGTTTGAAATGAGGATGAAATGGATCTGTCAGAGGCGGCGATTAATCTTTAAAAAGTGATAAAATATGAGGTAAAACTTGCTTGAATTAAGTGTTTTTTTGTCTTTTTTTGAGTACATTCTGACCTTTTTGCCGATGGGACAAAGCCATTTCGTCTCATTTCAAGAACTGTTGCTTCATTTTCTCATTCCAAGGGAGAAATTTCTTGTATATTTTCAAAACAAGGTCATTTTGCTCCTTGTCTCATTAGCATTTCTTGTTTTAAGGTCGTCAGAATGTTCTCGAATTAAGATACTTTTATCCAAATTTGAGCAATTTTTAACTTGTCTTTGATCACTTTTTGGTTTTGGGTCGTGGTTTAGTCCCAACTCAAATTAAATTAAATAAATTTTTGTTTAGCCCTCAATCACAACAGCAGCCATCTCAGAGGACTTCACAAAGGAAATGCAATAATAACAAACACATAAAGCCATTGGTCCATAAGGGACATATGACCGATGTCTATACAGTATACATGTTAATGATATTAATAAAAATACATCTTTATTTGCATACCTAGAAAGTGTTTACAAAGCACTGCACAGTCAGCATGAAGCAATAAAAAACATTCAAATATGGTCAATAAACATAATACAGTCATAATACGGAGATTAAAGCAGAAAGACAAAACAAAAACAATACATTACTACCTTAAATGTCCTGGATCAACACTGCCTTCAGACCACCCCCTCCCTTACACCGGAAAGGAACAACTCAGTGGGAACAAACAAAAAGTGAGAAACCGTAACCGCTCCCACGGACTAACAGGCTGTAGATCCAGGACTCGGGTCATATCTTGAATTCTACATTTCCAAAACCCGTGCACACAGGACACTCTGCTCTGTGCACAGTATTTGTCTCTGTGTTTGGTTTTCTGTGAGGCTGGGTCTTAGTACAATGTTAGGATCTGTCAGTGAACTATGTCAAATATATACCAGGTTTCACTGTATATACTTAATAGCATTTTTACTCCCTATAATTAATAAACGATCCCATCTGAGATAATGTAACTATCTTCAAAATGAAACGTAATCTCATCATGAATCTCTTTTTGTTTCCCGGTCGGTGATTTACGGCTCCTTAGAATCGTTCCTGTAAAACCACATTTACTAAACATCTCAGGACCTGTCTTGATTTTTTTCTATCTTTGATCTGTTGCCTTTAACAATGTTACCGACATTGTAACTATTTCTTTTCATTTGCTGGATAAATGGCAACAAAATATTTAAAAAATGCTGGACTACACTGCAAAAAATGTGCTTACTTTTTGTTTTTTTGCTTATTATTTGTTGCAGTGTAACTTAAAAACTGGTGCGATCTGCTCCCTCCTCGTCTCCATGGAGATGTCACTGCTTTGCCTGTATTATCCGCAGTATGGTATTTAGAAAAATCATAATAAATTCACTTGTTACTGAGAAAATTTTCCAAAATATAGCAAAGTTCCGACTTAAACTTTGAGGATTAATGTAATACCACACTCCGGAAAAAAAGCGATGACTTCCTCTCTTGTTGGACCTGTGTGCCTTAAGACTTTGTACATAAACTTGAATATTTCTAACTTTTTATGCGATTTTATAACGTATTCTGCTTCTATTGTCTTTCCGTCCATTTGTAATCCAATGTTGAAATCGTGCATTATCTTTCTCTTTTATGACTGTAATTCTCAGCTTTTCTCATGTCATTGGAGGAATAATGTTGTAAAACCAAAGGTCTATATTTTTATGTCTCTTTTTAATATATAATGAAATAAAATGATCTAGATTTGGCCTCTTTACTCTGTTTCTGTAATATTTGTGTTTATTTATACCAATATAATTACTGTATTTTTTGTGTAAGCCCTCCGTCGTACAGGGATTAGTCAAAGCAAAGGAAGGAGAAACCTTCTGGGGGAGAAGGAGAAAGGAAGGAGAAACCTTCCTTTGCTTTAATTACTATATTGTTATGTTTGTCAAAAGTTTTAGTTTGTGTCAAGGTTAGAAGACTAAACCAGTTTTATTAAGATACTATTTTTCTTGAAGACTGACGAGAAAAACAGTCTAGATTGTATTTAAAACTTTCCAAAAGATCAACCATCATTCTAGTTTGACCATATATGGACTTCCTTTCTTATTATAATAGTACGTAGAAGTTCCCATGGTTACTGGTTCTAACTTCTGAGGGAATTTTAGCATCACTTCATATACATTTTAGTTGAAGCAGACAGAAGCCTTGCTCACAGCCCTGGGAACTGATCAAAAATGCTTTCATATTCATAAAGTGTCCTTGAATGACTTGGGATTTTATTAAAATTTTCAGCTTTTTAACTTGATCTTGTGGAGTTATACCTGTTGTAAATGTTTTGCACCAATCAGTTTGAGAAGATAAGTTGAAGTTCTCTGCAAAATCCCACGTTCTTTCTATAATAATAATAATCGCAAAAAAGTAGAAATGTTTTTACTATTTTAGTCCTGTTTCATCTTAGTTTTGTTCTGATTTATGGCATGATGGTGAAGTCTCTTATTTTAAATGCTGTTACCAAATATGTCCAGTAGATGGCAGTGTTACGAAATTCTGCTACTTTGGCGCTTCAGTCGTTCATCGCCTTTCCTTAAGAAACTCCCCCAGTTGTTTTCATCAAATACTTGTTCTGTAGAAATGCTAAACTTGTATCCACCTGGACCACAGACTGGACTGGTCAGCTGAAGCCAATGCTGTCTATAAGAAAGGTCAGAGCAGACTTTTCTGAGTAGACTGAGGTCCTTTGATGTAAGCAGTCAGATGTTGCACATATTGATATTTTACCAGTCTGTGGTAGTTAGTGCCGTGTTCTTTGGGGGTGTCTGTTGGGGGCAGTCTGACCTCAGAGACAGTAACAGGCTCGACAGGCTGATCAGGAAATGTGTCTGATGTGATCCTTTGTTCCTTTGTTCCTTGAACACTTCATAACCTGTCCCCCTGCCCTTTATAACGTCACTTTACTGCTTTCACCTTATTGCACTGCCTACTGCACACATGTCCACCATGTGCACTTGTACATTGTATATAGTAATTGTAATGTAATATATCCATCTTCTTCCCCTTAATGCATATCTGGGTGGGATGGCAGTCAGAGCTGCACCCATTTCACTGAGCACCAGCCCATATGTAATATAATTTAATTATACCTTAGAAGTGTTGCTGATTTTTTTTTATTGTGCATTAGTCTATTCTTTACCTCTCTTCTTTTACTGTTGCACCGAGAGCCAAAGCAAGTCTGCGACTTCCTGTTACGTACATGGCAATAAAAATGATTCTGATTCTGGCTGTCAGACAGTACTACTACTACTACTACTACATTTGTCCTCTCACTCCACACAGAGATGGGAGCGGGGTCGCCAGTAGGCGCATGCAACTTTACAACAAACCTGGATGAGTCTTATGCTGGATACCTGAATTTCTCCTACCGGGGATCAATAAAGTATCTATCTATTAGACAGATGCATCTGCAGCAGAAAATGTGTAACTGTTATGTTTGGGCACCTTTTCCCCCCTTTGGCTTTAGGTCTTATCTTTTTTGTCCAGGTATTTTTGGGTTTTATAGTTTTTTTGTAAGATTGTTTTTTAAGTATATTTTATATATTCATAATTCAGATTTTGGAGCAATCTTCCAGAAAATGTGAGACAGGCTTCTACTCTGACAATGTTAAAATCCAGGATAAAAACGAATTTTGTCTTTACTAATTTTAGTTATTTGAAAGCCTTGATTGTTTCCATCTTGTTTTGTTCAGCACTTTGATTTGCCCTAAGTATGAACTGTGCTATCCAAATAAACTTGTAATATATAACAAAACTCACGCACATGTACAATTATATCGATGATTTAAAGTGGTGTTTTATTTTTTTTATTTTGACAAGTTCTGATGTTAATTACCCCTGAATAATAAATATTAGTTTTACACTTAGCAAGCAAGTTTATCAAAGAATATTTTCAGTGGAAGTTCCATCTCAAGAGGGAGATTCTGTAGATTTTGGCATCTCCAACACGTTATCACTATTTTTTATTTAATTTTATTTCTTTTAAGTGATTAACTCCAGACACTCAGGGTATAATCTTGTAATTGGGGTTTTTACAAAAATATATTGGAGTTTTGACCCAGTTCAATTTTGTGAGGTAACATACCGGCGTGAGGTCTTAAATCACAACCATAAAGGAAAATTTTAAATAAATACATTTGGCGTAACTCAGATGAAGTCTTGGTAACACTTTAGATTAGTCCTCATGAATTAACAGCTAATTAAGTGCTATTTAGTGTCCCTTGACCCCAACTCTAATTTGATCAATAACTCTAGCCCTGGCCCTAAGCTCAAGCAGTAGAGAGTTAGATGTTGAATGTAGTAGTAAGTAAGTAAGTAATCTTTATTTATATACCGCCTTTTCACTGCACATCGGAGTCTCAAAGCGGTTTACAATTGTTATTTTTAGGGCATTTGTCTCTCGCTCCACACAGAGATGGGAGCGGAGTCGCCAGTATAGGAGGTGCATGTCAGACCTATTGTACATATTTTTAGTGGTAGGGGAAACCGGAGTACCCGGAGGAAACCTACGCAGACACGGGGAGAACATGCAAACTCCACTCAGAAAGGCCCTGGACCGGGACCCAGGACCTTCTTGCTGAGAGGCGAGAGTGCTATCCACTCAGCCACCGTGCCGCCAATGTAGAATAAGGACTAATAAGTGCTTCGTTATTACCAATTAATTAACCCTAAATTATACACAAATCAGCTCTTCATTAGCTGTTCTAAAGTGTTATCAAAGGCTTTTACTCCAGTGGTGGAAAAACCGCGGTCCATGGGTCAGCTGTGGCCCTTTGGACACTTTTATCAGGCCTCTTCAGTTTGTTTAGATGTGTTTAACAGGGACGTGCAGTCAGGGGAGGCAGGGGAGGCAGAGCCTCACCTGCCATTATTGGAAACTAATAATTATTTTAGTTTAAATA